GCTCTGAAATATTTAAAACTGCACAGAAAAGTGTTTTATGGTCATCAGCCCAATTGACTATACAGCTTTGCCCCAAGTCCCACCTAATACATCACGACTACGTCTACACTGGCCCCTTTTCCGGAAGGGGCATGTAAATTTCATGAGTCGTAGTAGGGAAATGCGCGGGGGATTTAAATATCCCCCGCGGCATTTAAATAAAAATGTCCGCCGCTTTTTTCCGGCTTTTAAAAAAGCCGGAAAAGAGCGTCTACACTGGCCCAATAAAAATGTCCGCCGCTTTTTTCCGGCTTTTAAAAAAGCTGGAAAAGAGCGTCTAGACTGGCCCCGATCCTCCGGAAAAAGCACCCTTTTCCGGAGGATCTTATTCCTACTTCGAAGTAGGAATAAGACCCTCCGGAAAAGGGCACTTTTTCCGGAGGATCGGGGCCAGTGTAGACGCTCTTTTCCGGCTTTTTTAAAAGCCGGAAAAAAGCAGCGGGCATTTTTATTTAAATGCCGCGGGGGATATTTAAATCCCCCGCGCATTTCCCTACTACGACTCATGAAATTTACATGCCCCTTCCGGAAAAGGGGCCAGTGTACGTAGCCCACTAGGCAGAAGAGCCCTGACTTTGTTACAATGGCAGAGTTCAGTGCTGGTCGGTATTGAGCAGCCATTTCACATGTATCTTCAGCCTTTTAGCAACTAACCCATTTTTACCAAACAATTTAAGCAGCCACAGATCAGGAATCTCTTACCTTCTGCCCCCCAGTGATGAATTAATCTGATTGTGAAGGGAAAATATAAAAATTGGTGATTTTTTTTCCCTTTGTGATTCTGCTTCTTGCCGTCTTCCTACGAGTTTGAGGTCTGCGAAATATAGAAATGGAAAGTAAAACTCCTTTTTGCGCAGAGCAAAGTTCAAGCCTTCCAGTATTGATTCTGGAAAGAGAGATGCAATAATGAAGGGGGCTGAGCAAGAACCAACACCCACGGTACGTGTTTGCTTCAAAAAAGTGTTGTCATTCGTTCAGATTGAGCTGCATTAGCTGACTTGGTTTGCCATCGCAGGGAGGATGTGTCATGGCTCACAGGTCATGCCCACAGTTGGCCCGTTCACCCCCAGGTGGAACCCTCTTCAGTGCCACAGCCCCTTCTCAGAGAGCCCACTCTCTCCTGGGGGTCCGCCCCTCTGCCTCCAGTACGGTGCCTTTCCTGGCCTCCAGTCTGTCTCTGCTGTGAGCCCTCTTGGGGGGGTCCCCTCCCTCTGGACCCCTGGGGCCTCCCCTTCGCAGAGGGACTAGCCCAGCCCTGTTCTCCAGCCCAGAGCAACTCCCAGCCAGCACCCAACAGGAAGGTTTATTGAGCTTTGAATGCAGCAAAGGATTCCTCAGGCCTGTTGACCTGTCCCCCTCCCTCCAGTGCAGCACGTCTGAGTCTCCCCTGTCTCCATGTGGGCTTTGTCCCCTGTCCAGATCAGACCCCGTCTTCCAGCAGAGCCTCCAATATCCCCTACAGCAGCCCCTCCCCAGCCATTAAAGTTGAAACAGTGGGATTTCCGTGGTTGCAGATGAAAAACGGGCAGAACAAAGTAAATTACAGAATTAAAATGAAAGTGCACAGCTAATTCAAATCCACTAAAAAACTCGTTACAAGCAGCCCCTTGCCCTGATGAGCTTATTGTTATTTCAGGCCTGTCTTCAACTCATAGATGATCATTTTTTGAGACATGAATTTCCAGTGGTTCCCTTTTGTTTCTCTTGTATCTTAGGGTATGTCTAGACTACATGGCTCCATCAACGGAGCCCATGTAAAGTAGTTTACCCGACATTGTCAAGGAAGTGGGGATTTAAATAAGCCCCGCTTCATTAAAATAAACATGGCCTCCGCACTGTGCCAACAATCAGCTGATCTGGCACAATGCGGCAGTCTAGATGCGGTGCAGTCTACAAGGGAAGCCTTTGTCGACCGGTCCTGTAAGCCTTCTGAAACGGTGGCCATTTTTATTTTAATGCAGCAGGGATTATTTAAATCCCCACTTCCTTGACTATGTTGAGTAAACACTTTACATGGCTCCGTCGATGGAGCCATGTAGTCTAGACACACCCTTAGTTCGTCAGACCTTTCCCCAGGCTAAAAGAAGATAAAAGGACCCATTGTTTACATAGGTTCCCACGTGGGGTGGTAATCTGTAGCTCTCTATCCCCACCTCCCATGGAAAATTATTTGGTCAAACCCCTACCAGGTGGAATGGCCCCACATCTTCCTGGGACTAGCTGCTGCTTAGACTTAAAGGACAAACAAGGCTGTTCCCAAGTCGTTACATTGATCAGCCCGTCATTAAGGCATCTGGGAGCACCCCCGAGGGTTTACATTTATACATTTAAAACCATAAATAATTTCACCCCTCATATTTCTTCTAACATTTCAGACAAGACTGATGCATGCAGCCAAATCGGCTACCCAGATCCAGCAGATTGTATTACAGCTGGTAAGTTAAATGAGGTATTTTGTCCAAAACATCTTCAAGTGATGCTTTAGAGTTAGCAACCAATTTTATAAAGTATGGGGGGAGGAGAAATTGTCACAGTTAGGGTTACCAGGTAGCTTCAGAAAAAATACCAGACACACTTGAATGGGGGTGAAGGCGGGTGGGGGGGACCAGCTGGGAGGGGAGCGGCGCTGGCTGGGGGGGCG